CCCTCCTTGCCCTACCTCATTTTCTGTTTCGGGTTGATCCTGAAGTGTCAAAGTGTCCTCGTTTTATAGCCATTTTCATTGTTTCTATAGAATAGTAGTTACTATCCTAGTGTCTCATTTGTATTTACTCAGTTTACATGTTTTAATAATTGTAAAGCGCTTAGAGCTTTATGATAAGCGCTATATAAAAATGCCTAAATAAATAAATAAATAAATAATAGGGACGCTGTCGCTAAATACTCCAGGCAAATCACAATTTAATAGGGACGCTGTTGCTAAATACTCCAGGCAAATCCCCAGTTAATAGGGACGCTATCGCTAAATACTCCAGGCAAATCCCCAGTTAATAGGGACGCTGTCGCTAAATACTCCCACGCAAATCCTCAAGTTAAATGGGACGCTGTCACTAAATACTCCAGGCAAATCTCCATTTAATAGCGACGCTGTCGCTAAATACTCCAGGCAAATCCCCAGTTAATAGGGACGCTGTCGCTAAATATTCCCACGCAAATCCTCAAGTTAAATGGGACGCTGTCGCTAAATACTCCAGGCAAATCTCCATTTAATAGCGACGCTGTCGCTAAATACTCCAGGCAAATCCCCAGTTAATAGGGACGCTGTCGCTAAATACTCCAGGCAAATCCCCAGTTAATAGGGACGCTGTCGCTAAATACTCCAGGCAAATCCCCAGTTAATAGGGACGCTGTCGCTAAATACTCCAGGCAAATCCCCAGTTAATAGGGACGCTGTCGCTAAATACTCCAGGCAAATCCCCAGTTAATAGGGACGCTGTCGCTAAATACTCCCACGCAAATCCTCAAGTTAAATGGGACGCTGTCACTAAATACTCCAGGCAAATCTCCATTTAATAGTGACGCTGTCGCTAAATACTCCAGGCAAATCCCAATTTAATAGGGACGCTGTCGCTAAATACTCCCACGCAAATCCTCAAGTTAAATGGGACGCTGTCGCTAAATACTCCAGGCAAATCCCCAAGTTAATAGGGACGCTGTCGCTAAATACTCCCACGCAAATCCTCAAGTTAAATGGGACGCTGTCGCTAAATACTCCAGGCTAATCCCCATTTAATAGCGACGCTTTCGCTAAATACTCCAGGCAAATCCCCATTTAATAGCGACGCTGTCGCTAAATACTCCAGGCTAATCCCCATTTAATAGCGACGCTGTCGCTAAATACTCCAGGCAAATCCCCATTTAATAGCGACGCTGTCGCTAAATACTCCCACGCAAATCCTCAAGTTAAATGGGACGCTGTCGCTAAATACTCCAGGCTAATCCCCATTTAATAGCGACGCTGTCGCTAAATACTCCAGGCAAATCCCCATTTAATAGGGACGCTGTCGCTAAATACTCCCAGGCAAATCCCCAAGTTAATAGGGACGCTGTCGCTAAATACTCCCAGACAAATCCTCAAGTTAACAGAGACGCTGTTTGTAGGTACGCTAACAATCATGGAAAGTGACTCATGCGAAAGCGAAAGGTTTCTCTAAAAAAAAAAAAAGATATTGGATTTCCGTACGACGCAAACATCGATTTTGAATCTGACGAAACAGTACGCATTGGATTCATGGATGTTGTTTGTGACTATTGCCACGCTCGCAGGTGGAAATTTGAGTATACTAGTCTGTGCTGTAACGCTGGTAAATTTTGTCTCACTCCTTTACGCAATTTTGATAAAGGTATTTGTTGAAAGCTTCTATAATAACCAATAAACGTAACTAAATTCTTTCTAGAAACCTGTAGAGTATCTTCTCCCTTTTTATGTCACATATATTCTCTAGATCAAAATCATTAAGCTATTAATGCGATTTATACTCGGCAAATGGTTTAGAACAGGGGTATCAAACTCGGAGCCCACGGCCTATTTACGGCCTGCAAGGCGATATTTTGCGGCTTGCTACATGACAGCAAAGTTTAATGTTAATGCGGATGTTAATGTGACCATCCGCGACGGTTTCAGTAGAATCTCACTGATTATTAGTCTAATTCTGATTTTATTATGTTTGTATTGATTTTGACGTAAATTATATTGATCAAACCCGTTTTAAAATCGGACTAAAAGTTTTATTTTATATTTTTTATGAGATAAACTTGGCCAGGTTCAGTTTTGAGAAAAGTTTAAAAAGACAGCTAATGGGTAATTGATAACCATAATTGTGTAAATCGTTGCAACCTGACACAATTTTAAAGAATCCTTATTAATTGCCGCTAGTGTTTACAAGTGAGGGAAAATTCGAGCCTGTCAGCTTGGTCACTTTCAAAATAAGGTTAATCAAAACGGCCTTCTCTGCCATAAAAATCAAAATTCACTCTTCCTACAATAGCATCTTCCCTCGCATCAATAATTCATAAATATGGCCTGCTCCTGCCTACGGTTTGAATACATTTTACCATTCAAAGCCTTCATGGAGTAGGATTAGTGTAACTGTTCCTGTACTAAGTGATCCCAAATGGCTCATGGTATGGACGGTTCTTCTTGTTGACATTACACAGGAGCTGAATTTACTCAAAAAGAAGTTACATGATCAGGGGTAGCTTCTCAGTGTTGCCTATGACAATGTCAGCGCCTTCTGCACAAAACGTGTTATAGTTCTCTGGGAAAAATCTGCCATTCCCCCAACATGCAAAGTACTCATAGTCTCAGGCACACAATTCAGTAGTAAGTATACTGACGCCATTGCAAAGCTACAGGAAGAATTTGATCCCATGTTTTCAGACATCAAAACACACAGATCCATTTTAAAATGTTTTTTTTACCCTTTCTCCTTCAATGTGGAAGATGCCCCCCTCCCCCACACGTTTTTCTTTCGCTTCAAATGGAGCTGATTGATCTTTAGTGCACGTTTAGAGAGGTGAATGGAAAAACCGACAAGTATGGACAATTTATGAGAGCATTGCCCTCCACCTTCCCTGAGATTGTTCAAGCGGATTATGTGCCTCTTTGGGAGTACCTAACTGTGTGAAAAGCATTTTCCCATGATGAACTTAACAAGTCTAAGTTAAGGGTTAAATTTATGATGAGCATCTTCAAGCTGTACTGAAGGTCTCAGTGTCGTCCTCACTCAAGCCAATGTTGCTCAGCTGTGTAAGAAGAAGCTCTGCCAGGTCTCAGGCAACAAAGAGTAGGAGGACGAAAGTGAAGCCTAGTTCTTTATAAGCCTTAAGGATTTTATTTTTTATTAATAAAGGTTGACCTGATTGTAACAATTTTACTTTATTGAATTTGTAATCGCTTTTTATGTGGAATACTTGATGCGGCCCAGTGTCAATCAGATTCTATCTGCTGCGGCTCCCGGTTGATTTTAGTTTGAGATTTCTGGCTTGGAATGTCACTAAACAAAACTGCAATATGACTCGAGCTTTTACATTACACACTATACTATAAATGTATATTTAGCTACAGTCAAAGCTGTCATTATTGTCACAACTGTCACTATGGTTGCTATGGTCGCTGTAATGACACTTGTCTATATAGCTACAACTTTTACTTTAAAAGCATATCTGTCATTATTAGTGACAACAATATGGTTACTGCGATTACTGTGGCCCTTATGGTTATTTGGGTCACTAGGGCCACAATGGGCACTTTGATTAGTATAGTAACTATAATATAACCACTAGGGCCACTGTTGTCATTATGATCACTTTGCGGTAACATGACAGTGTATACACAGGTATAATTTACTATAAGTTATGAAGTGACAAGATTATAACGTGTCACTCATTGCGTCCCTGCCACCCTCACCAATTATAAAACCAAGCTGAAGACGTAATCTCAATAAGATCACATTGTCATGTGATTTTTACTACCTGCATTATCAAAATTGTTTTGTTTAAATAGGCATGTCAGCACATGAAAGTTGTGCGTAAAAAAAATAATAATAAATCGGGTAAATTTTCGTGATCCAGAGAGTCGATAACTTGAAACGCCTTAATTTAGATTGCAAAGAGATCGAACGCAAGATAATGCACTGAAATTGGAAATTGTCTCTTTAAGTTTAAATTTTCATGTGAGCGCCAGAATTAAAGACCTGGAGTTGAAATCAGTTCTTTTCACTTATGTATTTCTTAACTTGGAGTCAATGTTATTATAGATCAGAGCCGTTACGTGGGCCACGCAATAAATCCCTTGTGGTGCTAGGGGTCCTTGGTTATTAAGGGGCCCAAAAGTTGCAATGTGGAAAAATTTTAAATTTCAATAGAAATTAATTTAAATTGCTTTATAAAGCTGAATAAAAAAAACCCCAAATATGTGGCAGGTTGCCTTCAAAGCTCACGCGATGACTCTTGGTATATGGATGACAACTACCATACTCTACTTAACATCAGCCTTGTAGACTTGTAGAGAAACCAGTCAAACGTTAGCCAAAAAGATGTGAAAGATAAATTTGAAATACAAAGCAGTATTTATTATTATTTTAATCTGCTATCATCTGCACAGACAGTAAATATATTTGTACATTCTTAAGTAGAAGAAATATCCTTCATTCAGTACAATGAACAGAGAAATGAATTGATCTTTTATAACTACAAAACAAAAAAATAATATTGTGTAACAAATTAGTTATTATTAGAAATTTTTATTAACATTAAAATAGTAACATTAATGTATGTTTAATATGTAAACTTAAAACGGTTGCAGTGAATTATTTTGCATTCATTTATTATTATGACAAAGTCTGACTTCTGGAAAATTCTTCCCTTACACCTCCACTGATTCCAATTGATTCTTCAGCTTTCCTTTTACCTATACTGTGGGGATGTAGCCTCTGAATTGTTCTACTATCAATCCGATAAATGGGGGCTCCACTACTACCAGGGCAGGAAGGTAGGTTATATTTGTATTTGGTGTAATATGTCTTACTTCGTAACCTTTTTGAAACATATTTTCGCGTATACTGTCCAAATGTGACATGTTTTTGACACCCGTGTGGGTGAGATACAAGTATAACAAGATTGTTCTGTGTCAAAGTCACATATTTTTTGTAAAGTTGTTCATGAATTTTTTGCAAGGATTTTATTTTCTTTCTCAGCTCACCCACAAGCTTCGTATCATGAGTGACACACATGAACTTGCATGTGTCATTCACCTCACTGATTTTATTTTTTCTGACACCCTGTAAAATTTTTACTATGGCATTCTCATCATTATAATCAAGTACACAAATAGTTCTCTTAACCTCGTGGTCATCACACACAACATGAGCTGCCGTGTCCACTGTTATTTCCCCCCATTGACTGCCAGGATGTTCCTTACAGACCTCACATTCAAGTAATGGACAATGCATGGAATCCTTTTTCCTTTTCATTACTGATGACACAATATTCCCGGTGCCCTTGCATTCCTCTGTTGTTGCCATGTACACAGGTGGTCTGTCGGGGCTCGTTCCTATAAAGTATACCTTAACAACAAGGTTGCCCAGGGCCCTGACAAGATCATTAAACTGTCTCTCGTTATTGTAGGGGTGTTGTAGATCAAGATAACTAAAGTCATAAAATGGGTAGAATTTCGGATGGCCGGGATATTTCCGGCAATCTTTTAATTGAAGAGACACAGCCGATTTGTGTTTCTTGCAAGGTGACAAATTGTTGGAATCTGATGTAGAATAAACATATCGCAATTAAATAGTGCAAAGTAAGTTTAAGCGATAGATATGTTTAGTAGCTTATTTAAAATTCAAAATGCACAAATATTATTTTTCATGTGGTAAAAAAAAAATTCAAAATTAATGATCAATTGCTTTTAAAAAAATAAAATTGTTTCTACATATTATGTTAAACATAATTGAAAACAAAATTAATAAAGCAGTATTTATTATCTGCTGTTTATAGAAATTAATAAGACACAAATACAGTTTTTATGTGTCTGAATTAATGAAAACAAGTGAAAGTGTAATCTTTCCATTTTTAATATATTATATTTCAACTCTTCAATGAAATAATTGAAAATATCCAGATAATAATCTGATACTTATAATAAACCATATTTCGACATTTGATAGTCATTATGTAAGATTGTATAGCTTACAATCTTATCAATTGCATTGGTCCCTTTACCTTTATTGTTAGCATCAGATGGATGTAGTGCCTGGTGATTGCATAAAAAAAGTTTAATTTTTCCACTAAATCAAATTTGATTAAGAGGATAAAATGTTTTTTGAAAATTTGCCCTTAAATAAATAAACATTTTTTTTATTAAAATCACAATAATTTGGTAGAAATTATTATATATTGGTAATTGAAAATCAATTTTTTTTAAACCAAACTAGTTTTATGCTAAGTAATTGTCAAAAGGTATAGCATAAAGGTATAATATGTCTGTTAAGAATTAAAAACTATATTAGTTGTTTTTTTTTTAAATACTGAGTTTTAATTAACAAGAGTTAAGCTTTTTTACCAGTTTATCATCCCCAGATAATAAGGTCTGTTTGGATTTTTTAGCGGAGGATTTCTTGCGTTTTTTTGCACGAACTGAAATATTTATGTACAGACAATAATAAATGTATTACTCTATATTTTATCTAATAATTCTAAGTGTGGCCCTAAAACACATTCTACAACTAAGTATTTAACTTTTTGTTCCATTGTTTTAAGACATTAGAATTCATAATTCAACTCAAATATAAAAAATGTAACTAATTTTATAGAAGTAATCTTCGATGAAATTAGGATTAAAAATTTAGAGGGAATTGCAAAGAATAATCATTGAAATTAATTTTTAACTTTCCAAATATTAAATTGTATGTGTATAAATTTTGAGACAGCAATGCATAATAATACTTATCTTAGACTATGGGAAACTAAAATAATCAAAGATAGCCAACATTGAATTTTAATTCATATTATATAATATCTTGATTTAGTTTTTATTAATTAAAAAAACACAATTTTTTGTTTATTTTTAAAGTTAAAAAATATTTAATAGTTTTTAAATAGTCAATACTTTTTATTTATTACATATAAGTCTAAGTATTTAATCCCTAGTCATTACTAATTACTACAATGTATTTTAATGTACACCTTGAACTACAAAACAAAATAGAAGTTATTGAATTAAAACTCCTTATTTTTAAATAAAAATCCTTAAGTTAAGTAGTTGTCACATTTGTATATTTAAAACATACCATTTTGTTCATTCTTATTAGGTTCTTTGGCCTCATTGTTAGGAAGACATGGATCAAGTATCTGCTTAAATAAATACATATATTTTTAAATGTTTGTCAAAGCTATACATCCTTTCATGAAAACATTTCTTTATAAATGTTTAGTCTATTGTTATTTTTGAAGGATCATTTATAATACATAATAAAAATCTAATTTTAATATTTACCTATTTATAATCGCCTACTACTTCTATATTATAGTTGTTAAAACTAAGGTCATTTACCTACACTCAAAACATTTCTTTTCAAAATTCCGATTTTTTTTCATTAAAAAACACTAATACTAACAAGTTTGTACTAATACTTATTCTTTTTACCCGTTTATTATCTCAAGAAACTGAGAGGGGTTTATTTTTTAACAGAAAGTTTTTTGTGATTTTTGGAATTAGCTAAAATATATTTATATGTAGGCCTAAATATATTTATATGTAGGCCTAAATATATTTATATGTAGGCCTATATATATAAATAACCAAAAATATAGATCTACATATATATTATTATTCAGATTTAAGGTAGATGTTCAAACAATAATACATTTATTACCATCGATTTGATCTATAAGTAAACATTATAAAATGTAATGTATTCATCTTATTATTTTTATTTCTAAAATCCTTTATTATCTCTTAAGCACTCTCATATTAAACAAATTTAGATCTTACAAGCTTGTTCATCTACATTTGGTTCATTATGTCATTGTTCTTATTAGAATAATAAAATATCTGCTCAGTTTAAAAAAAAAAGTTTTAATCTTAGTTAACTCTCTCTATTGAGTAAATAAAAATAATTTCATAAGGTACAATTTTTTCAAACACTTCATCATCATCAGGTATTACAGATCATTTTATATAGATTTAAGAAATTTTGTTTTTAGCTGTTAAATGTCAATATGGCAGTTAGATACTTCTGATGTAACACTTAGCTTAATAAGATGTTAAATATTTTATAACTAATGCTAACAATTTTTTTATTATATTTCATAAATTATGAAAGCTAATAAATTATTAACTTATTAGCTGTGACCATGAGCAAGAACTTTTACTGTTATAAAACTGAATAGGCCTATAGCTACTCACTACTTGCTTCTTGCAACTCGTTGCTTGCAACTTGCTGCTCGCTACTCACAGCTTAATACTCACTGCTAGCTGATTTTAGATTATTTTAAATTTAAAGACTTAACGTATAATATAAACCTGTTTATAATCCCATGCTACATCTACTGCTATATTTTATTATTTCAATATCTAGGTTATTTTACTGTTTACTAGCTGCCTTTTCTGAAAAATTTAGTTTCTGTTAAAAAATTCACATGCTAGCTATACTCATGAAATTAAGTTAAAATCAGCTTTGAATTTGTTACCTGTTTATTATCACCAGATACCGGGGACTGTTTTAAATTTTTAGCAGAAGGTGTTTTACGTTTTCGTGTATTAGCTGAAATATAAACATGTATACTGTATACTATTTCAGATTTTAGATTTTAATGATAATTTGAAAGATGTTCAAAATATGTAGACCTACATGTTTGTGTCACAAAGTATTTTTACTTTTTAAATTTTAATTAAAGATGACTTTGTTAAGAATAATAATTTAAAATATACTTAAAAAGATAAATTTAAAATGAAAAGAATAAAATATGTCATAATTAAAATACAAATTAATTTAATTTACTCAATTTTTATGTTTAAAGTGTGTTTTTAAATTTTGTAAGTATAAATTTATAGGCCTATATTTAATGTGTGTATAAGCAAGTTGTATTTATCGAAATTTTTTAAACAAAATTATTTAATGCGCGTTGGTCGCAAGAGTTTGTAATAATCACTTGTTTCAATGTAAAACATTTTTTGGAGCCTAAGATATGGCTTATCTTAACGTAGTTTTACGTCTTTTGATTATGAGTCTAAAGGCCAGCACATCTTGTTCAAGTTAAAACAGTTAAAAAGACTATAAATATTTTTAAAAAATAATAATAATAAGACTGTTATAAATTAAAATAATAAATTAATTATAAAATATATTTTCAATTAAGATGAAAAAGAAAAGGTTTCGGCCTAGTAAAACTTGCTCAGTATCTGGAAATTGATCCCAACATATACTTTAGTCTAGCGATTCAATTGTAATTTACAGTGGCAGTGTGCATAGGTACATCCTTGTTGTTTAACTAGACACTTTGATTATATCAAGATCACAATAAAAATTTATAAAAGAACCCCGAGGTCGGATAAGCACTCTTTATGCACGTCACTGAACTTGTGATCTATTGTCCACCCTCCCATTCAAATACAATGCATTGAACTGTTGTTTTTAAAAATGGTACAATGTTTATTTCCATCTCTTAAAAGAATAGAATATGATTGCAGTTAAGCAGCCAAGTTTTGCTCTGGTTTGTACTCTGAAAAAAATCCTTCTAAATCGTTACTAGCCAGGGTCTTGACAAAAATCCTTTGCAAACTCGTCAATTAAAATGTTCATTTTGGTAAATAAAATGTAAGATTTATAATTACTCTTGTAAACATTGAATTTCGGGGCTAGGCTCCTTCTGTTAATATTCAAGATGCATTTAAAGACCAAATATAACTATGAAAATATGTTTGATTTAAAGAGATCATTGACCAATCCTAAAGATATGCCCGTTTATCAATTACAATGAATTAGGATCATCATTCAGAATGGGCAATCTTAGAGAGGGAATAACAAGAATTGTGATTGGTGTCTTTGTGGTCTATGGTATGACATTTACGCCAGTGCACAATAATAACATCTGATGCAAAGTGTTTTTCAGTTGTAAACTATTTAACGTTTATCTCACTAACACACTTAATTCACTTTGTCATCATTACAAACACTAGCACAAATAATAGCACCAAGTCAATAAGTATAGTAAGCTTCACTAACAAACTTAGCCAAAAAAAAAACAATGCAATAAAGGGATAACTGGACTAGACTGCTTTCCCTTTCATTCTATTAGTCCTTCTGTTTCCCACTCTACCAAATATTAGTCCCCTTTGTTCACACAAGTTTCTATGTCAGCGATTCTTTCTTACTCATGCCTGGACTACTTTCATAAAATAACTAATTAACCTATCATTAGGAATGCTTACCTCATCATAAATCAATCAGATAAATATTAAAGTAATTTTTTTTTAAAGTGTCCCATTAAAACAGAACAGAATTTGCAAATATATTGCCTTATAAACTATTACTATTTAGGCCCATGGTACCAAAATAATTTAATCTTTATCATTCTACAGCTGTAATATTTTAGGTTGGATAACTAACAAACATTTTTTCTTAAATTTCATTTTAAATTCTTTGGAAAATGCCCAAAAAAGTGCTCTTTATTTAAAATTATGTTAGGGCCCCATGTAGACAAAGATGTTGACATCTTTTAATAGTATATATATATATATATATATATATATATATATATATATATATATTATATATTGACCAATATGACATATGATATTTATTATACTTAATTTGAAATATTTACAAATAAAAAAAGTTCTCTATATATAAAAATATGTGAGGGCCATATATAGACAAATATGTATATATTTTTTAATAATATATATATATATATATATATATATATATATATATATATATATTATATATTGACCAATATGACATATGATATTTATTATACTTAATTTGAAATATTTACAAATGCAGCAACACTAATGGAATGGCCAAAGAAATTGTATTTATTGTATTTAAATTCTGTTTAAATCCTTTATTGATTATATTATAAAGCATTCAAAAACGTACCTCCTTGGCTGTGCACATTTGTTTTATTTCCATCATCGATAACATCAGGAGGATAACAAATGGTCAGTATCTGCTCAGATTTTAAAAAATGAAAGTTCATATTTCTGACAACCCACTCCACCCATTGGATTTAACACATAACCACCAGGATGTGAAAATATTTTCCTTAAAAAATTTGGCATGTACGTACTTACTTCTAACAAATGTTGCAAAAGCTATCGTGCTAAAGACTTATAATTTTTAAATGATTTTAAAAAGACGTTATTACCATTAATCACAACATTGTGTTATCAATTAAGGGCATCTATTTGTTTATTCTTTACCTCCACTGAAAGAATTTTTGTTGAATATTTTTATTATTTTATCGTCCATTAATCACAATTACAAAGTTTAGAATTGTTTACTATTTTTTGTTACCTTTTTATTATCCCCGGCTAAAACAGTCTGTTTTCCTTTAGTGGTGAGTTGTTTCTTCAACTTTGGTGTTCTAGCTTTAATAATTATATGGTATTTAACTTTTGAGTTATATGTAGGCGTACAACTTATAACAAATTATTTTTATATTTGACCTGATTAAGTATAAGCTAAAAGCTTAGCTCAAAAAGAACATTGAAAATATAATTTAAAATCAGCATCACAAGAATAATCTCATAAAAACTAAATAATTCTACTAATTTTCAATATTTTAATTTTTTTTGTTTGAGAATCACTGATAACTGTTTTACCTATTTTAAAAATAAACAAAATTAATTCCTTTTTAAATTAATAACTTGCTACAGTACACTAAATTTAACCTTTGTGTAATTCAAATTCTAATAAAATATGAATAAATATATTGTGCTTATTACTAAAATTATAAGGAAAAAAATTAATTGTCTCTAAAAAAAAAATTTTGAAAAGAAAATGCTTTTCAAAACAAAAATTTAAAATTTCTTTTTAAACTATTTATGGCATTTGTAAAATGACATTTGTATTTTGAAAAATTTTCAAACACTTTTCCAAAAACCACCACCATATGCTCAATGTTAGTTAGCACTCAGATTTTTTTACATTTTTTAGCACAGCATCCGAGTGATATATGCTTCACATTACTTTTTAAAACAAATTGAGCTTTTTTTCAGACATTAGAGAATTGCAATATCAAACCCAATGTTATGTGTAACGGAAGCTGTAGTAACAATAGATGAAATAGCTAATGGAGCTGCCATTCTTGCCATCAGCATGGTATTGCATTGAGACAGTCAGTCAGACCATTCACTTCAAAATGCCCCGAAATCAATGAAGTGGCTATGGGTTTGTAAACAAAGTTAGAGGTCCTCAATTTGAATGTGACATGAAATCCTACAATTTTGAAAAGGCTATTTTGAGAACATCAATATTTTGAGTCAACCAATGACTTATGTCATTCTTTTCCCCTATGGACAGCCCAGTTGGCAGTCTTATTTTATGGTTGATTCATACAAGGGAGCACAATGACATAGAATTCGCAGCTCAGCCAGCAATACTAGTCTATTTTTTTTTTTAAAAGAGGGTGGGACCTGATCTCTTTATCACAATGACAGCAAACAAAAACTGGCCTAGAATCAAGGATAACTTGAGGGCAAGTGAGAAGACAAGTGAATGCCCTAATTTTTAACGACGGATACCAAATTCAATGGAAAATCGTGTCCTTAAATCTTTTTTTTTAAATGGATTTAATTTCATTGATCACATTATTAAGCTTTGAAACTTACATTTTCGTCCAAGCACATTTGCTTTATTTCCATCATCAATAACATCAGGAGGATAACAAATGGTCAGTATCTGTATGGTTAAATAAATACAAATCTGTATTTCTGTCTAGCTTCTCCACCTTTTAGATTAAGCACTCTTTTTATCAAGACAGAAGTCAAAATATGTTATTTGTGTTTAAAACAATAAGTCAATTTTTTTCTACCTGTTGATCTTTCAAAGTTATTGCAGAGCAATTTAGTTATAACACATTGTTTAATAACTTCTTAAATGTCAACTCAACTGGTGAATTTTAAAATTTCTGATTGAAAGTTAGATTACTAACACCTTCATTATCTTTATAAAAATGTTCATAGCTTATGTCATAGCTTATTTTCCATTGGCAGTATCTATGCATCTTCAAATATTCATCTTAAATTACTCACTACTCTAGGAAATATGCAAACTTTTTCTTTAAGCCTTTGTCTATCTACATAATCATAAACACAAGATTTGCCCACTCCAAATCTTTTGTTAACGGTGACAGGAAAGTTCATTTACTTTAAAGTATCTAGCTGTTCTGCACACAAATTTGTCAACAATGTAAATTATTTAACTGTTTATAACCACAAATACTAGACCCATTTAAAAATGTGTAAAAATATTTTGATTTTTTGTTTACCTTTTTATCATTTCCTGTTAGTAAAGTCTGTTTTAATTTGTTGACAGAAATCTTGTTGCAAGTTGGTGCAGTAGCTGAAATATTTAATTCATATTTAAGTTTTCTGAGTTATATCAAGGCCTACAAGCAATAATACATTTATTACCTTCATTTTGTCTTGATAAAATGTTTTTCTTTTGGTATAAATATATGATCACCTAAATTAATATATATATATATATATACAAAAGTTTTATGCAGGTATCTGATCTCTTTATCATAATGACACCAAACAAAAATTGGCCTGATAAATAAAGATTATTTTTATAAATAATTCAGTAAAATAAAATATTTATATATTGTAACAGTATATTTTTAAAGCTTGAAAGGTAGGCTATCCTTATAAAAACGAATTCATTCATTTTTTTTACTTTTCTTAAAAAATATTTACAGCAAGAGCTAGCAATCTGAATGGAATTTAGTGTATTGAGATGCATCTTTAAAATTAGAAGTAGGCCCTACTTCATTGTTTTTTTTAATAATTAAATTACAATACAGAATACAGAGTAGAGCTTTAAAACTTACCAACTCCAACTTGATCAGGCATATTTGATGATATCTTTTCCTCATAAACATCAGAAGGATTGATTAGGCCTACCTGCACTGTTACATAACACAAGTTTATATTTCTGTCAACTATATATATCAACAGTTCTGGTTTAAAACATTATAACTTCCAAAATATTAAAATGTTTTTAAAAGACTTTAAAAATGTATATTATATTGTCCTAAATTAGGAATGCGGCTCCAAAAAGGGGGGTTGAGTATATATATATTATTTAAGGCCCCCAAAGTTATGATGTGGAAAAAATTTAAACTATCAACTTTGAATGCAGGGAGCACAAAACCGAAAGTGGCTAGCTACCTCAAAAGTCATGCCACATCATTTTACTGTAAAGTTTTTAAAAAATCATCTTTCGTCATGTTCTATACTATACTGCAATATTTACCTACCATAACTTTTACTTATCCTTTAACTGTCACTAAGATTCAAAGAACTGTTTATATTTCTGTTATCAAAATTATTATATTACTTCTTGTTGATTCATACTCTCTGTCTCTGGTCACAAAAATTTGTTTTGCAATCTTTGCAAAAGTATTTTAAAACTATATTTTAATTTTATAGATTAGATTTATAATTGATGGAATTCATTCAAGTTGTTTAAATTAAAATGAAACATAAGAACAAGGTATGCTAAACCTGAGAATTAACAGACGGGACAAAAGATTAGTAAAGGTCCAAATCTTTTGTTCTATCTATATATTCAAGTTTAGCATACCTTGTTCTTATGTTTTAGTAGTATAGTTGTCGACTAACTTAAATGACAATTTTATTTTTTAATTAAGTTTTTCTTAAAAGGTGCACATCACTGGCAATCAAATATTTTACCATATTTTAACTTTAAGCTCAATGCAAAATGAAAAGTGGATTAGCTTTACTTTTTGTGTTATTTTATCACTGCTGTCTAATTTTCATAAATTAAATAACTGACTTATAACTTATACTTATATTATGGAATCCTTCCGGCCTGGCTTCGGTCTTCGTGAGACGTTGGAGTAGCTTATTGACAATTCATCAAATCACTTAAACTTAATCACTTACGTGGCCGTTCCTGGAATCGCAACTCGGCTGCACTTCTCGCCTTAGCCTTAACTTTGTTAAGTTTAACTAAAAAGACTAAGACGTCTATTTTTAAGTACTCTCATTTCAGTCAAATTAACCGTGGCCTTCCGTAATGCTCTTTTTAGTATTCTCATTTAATGCTGTTGATTATTTTTGAATTTGGACAGTCACTTGTAAGGAGCAGCCGTAGTATAAGAATATGTGTATAAAATTAACGTTGTTGTGTTGAGTCCATTTTTCAAATTTCCCATACTTTTGTCTTTTATCACGCATTTCCTTTTATACAAAATTGAATCTATGCAAACCGGAAAACCATCGCTCTAGATCAAAATAGGAATTTCCGATCGAATTGGAAAAATCCGATTAATATAATTTAGTACAGTGGTTCTCAAACTTTTTAATGCCGCGACCCTTTAACACAGTGCCTCATGTTGTGGTAACTGTTAGGTATTTGTGTTTTCCGATGGTCTTAGGTGACCCCTCTGAAAGGGTCATTCGACTCCCAAATGGGTCGCGACCCATAGATTGAGAACCGCTGATATGGTAGGAAACGCCGACTAAAGAAAACTGGCGGGAACACAGCAGCATTTTTCGAATAATACAGTAACAGACAAAAAAATTTTAAATATAAACCATGCAAAATATAAATTAGGTAGTCGCTAATTTTGCGTAGTATTGGCTTTGCGTATGCCCGTATATATGCGTATCGGGAAATTTGTGTGAAAGAAATTTCGTCGATGGAAAATTGATCGACGGAAGTTTGATTGAATGGAAGTTTGGTGGAACGGTAATTTGATCGAACGGAAGTTTGGTGAATGAAAGTATAGGGGAGCGGAATTTTGGTTGATTTATTTTTTAAATTTAAATTATAGGTTTCTGATGTTAACTTCACACGATCAAGTTTTCGTCGATTTTCTTATTTAAATGGACTATGACTATTAATATAAAATTTAAAAAAACTAATAAATTAAAATGCGTTTAAAAAGAATTTAACGCAGTTTTGACGAAAATTTGATTGTGTAAATGTGAACTGAGCATAAGTCCCAGAAGAAAAGGTGCGAGGGAGAAATTGTTAAAATCTATAATCTAGATCTAGCCTAAATTTTTAATTTGGCTAATCTTATTTGTATGTTTTTCTTCCATTATTAGTAACCATTTTTCATGGCATATAATATAATGTGTACAACAATAATACTTTTTTTTTTAAAATTGATAAAATATCATCTATTTTAATTTTTTCCCTGTCAAATGTTAAAAGTGAGATCAACACATGTCCGACATCGAAGCAAGTCGACAATAGTACAGTACAGACTACATAACACTAACAGCTTGAATATTTATTTAACTTTAACATTTAAAAGGAAGCACATATTAATAGATTGATTAAGGTTGTAAATA